ATCCCTCCTCCCTAGGGTTACCAGATAACAACTGTGAAAAAACGGGACAGGGGGTGGGGGGTAATAGGCGCCCCTATAAGAAAAAGTCCCAAAAAACGGGACTGTCGCTTTAAAAACAGGACATCTGGTCACCCTACTCTGCCCCCACACCTCCACTAACTATGGCTATAATTAAAGACCTTGGCTGCTAGGCTAATTGAGCGCTGTCAGATGCACCCGCCTCCTGTTTGTCAATCAGGAAACAGTAACATCTCTCTGTGGCTGGCAAACGTGCCAAGATAGCAGTGGGGAGGACAGCCACTTTTTAAATTTTACACTGAATTTTGGAGATAGCTCTGAAAATGAGGGCATTCATCTTCCTGACTGCAGGGTATGCCTAAATATTTAATCTCCACACACCCACCTTTCCGATATGTCTACACATTGGCTGGGGGCATACTTCCAGCTCCAGTAGACAGATGCATGCTAGCTCTGCTCAAGCTAGTGCACTAAAAATAGCACTTTGGCTGCAGTGACTTGGTCTAGCTGCCCAAGTACATACCCAGGCGGTTGGGCGAGTTTGTACATGGGTAGCTAGCCCAAACCACTGTCTGTGCTGCTGCAGCCACTTTGCTAGTTTTAGCACGCTAGCATGAGAAGAGGTAGTGTGTGTCTGTCTGCTTGTGCTGAGAAGCATCTTCCCAGCTGCTGCACTGACAACTGTGACAACAGCTGTTAAAGTAGTCTGGTCATTGTATTTCTTATAGAAGCAGATAGTATAATAGCAGAGGGTCAAGAGCCAGCTCAGTACCCGTGGAAATAGCCACCCCGAAGGGATGAACAATAGATGAGATTCTTTTTGCAAAGATTCTTTCAAATATTCCCACCAAGGGAGGATGTGCCCTCGTCATAGTGTGATGTGATAGTCACATAAAATATGGCCAGAAATGCTCCCCACTCTCTGTATGACCCAATTTTGGTGTAATTGTTCTGGTACACTGCAAGCCTGGCTGTAAGCAGGCCTTTCACATATGTCACCACATACACATTCTCTAAGGCAGTGGTTCTCAAACTTTTTTCATTTGCAGATCCCTAAAAATTTTTTGAATGGAGGTGCAGACCCCTTTGAAAATCTAAGCCATGGTCTACACTATGAGTTTAGGTCAAATTTAGAGGCATTAGGTCAATTTAGCCCTGCACCCGTCCACACAACGAAGCCATTTTTGTCAACTTAAAGGGGTCTTAAAATCGATTTCTGTACTCCTCCCCGACGAGGGGATTAGCGCTGAAATCGACATCTCCAGGTCGAATTTTGGAGTAGTGTGGACTCAATTCGATGGTATTGGCCTCCAGGAGCTATCCCAGAGTGCTCCATTGTGACCGCTCTGGACAGCACTCTCAACTCAGATGCACTGGCCAGGTAGACAGGAAAAGCCCCGCGAACTTTTGAATTTTATTTCCTGTTTGGCCAGCATGGAGAGCTGATTAGCACAGGTGACCATGCAGAGCTCATCAGTAGAGGTGACCATGGAGTCCCAGAATCGCAAAAGAGCTCCAGCATGGACTGAACGGGAGGTACTGGATCTGATCTGTGTATGGGGAGACAAATTCGTGCTACCAGAACTCCGTTCCAAAAGACGAAATGCCAAAATATTTGAAAAAAACTCCAAGGGCATGAAGGACAGAAGCGATAACAGGGACACGCAGCAGTGCCGCGTGAAACTTAAGGAGCTCAGGCAAGCCTACTAAAAAACCAAAGAGGCAAACAGTAGCTCCGGGTCAGACCCCCAGACATGCCGCTTCTATCATGAGCTGCATGCAATTCTAGGGGGTGCCTCTACAACTACCCCACCCCTGTGCTTGGACTCCTGAAAGGGAGTCTCACGCAACAGGGATGAGGATTTTGGGGACGAGGAAGATGATGGCGCACAGCAAGCAAGCGGAGAAACCGTTCTCCCCGACAGCCAGGAACTGTTTATCACCCTGGAGACATTACCCTCCCAACCTGGGCTCCCGGACCTTGAAGGCGGAGAAGGCACCTCTGGTGAGTGTACCTTTGTAAATATAATACATGGTTTAAAAGCAAGTGTGTTTAAATGATTCATTTGCCCTGAAGACTTGGGATGTATTTGCGGTCAGTAAAGCTACTGGAATGCAGTCAAGCAACATCTGTTCTTTATCTCTCTGAGTTATCCTCAGGAGAGCGATATCATTCATGGTCACCTGGTTGAAATAGAGGAATTTTATTAAGGGGACATTCAGAGGTGGCCGTTCCTGCTGGGCAGTGTGCCTGTGGCTGAAAAGAAATCATCCCCACTGTTAGCCACGCACTGTGGGGAGGGGTGAAGCGATCATCCCAGAGAATTGGGTGGGGGGGGGTGGGTTAGTTGGGTTTGTGCTGCACGTTAATCCGAAAACCGCACCCCCTCCTTTTAAATGGCTGACCCATTTTAAATGGTCAACCCAACTCTCCCTTTTTTTCCTCTTGCAGCTGCAAATGTTTCAACACTCCCCCTATCATCTCCGTCCCAGAGGCTAGCGCAGATAAAAAGGCAAAAAAAACGCACTTGCGATGAAATGTTCTCTGAGCTCATGCAGTCCTCCTGCACTGAAAGAGCCCAGCAGAATGCATGGAGGCAGACAATGTCAGAGTCCAGGAAAGCACAAAATGAATGTGAGGACAGGAGGGACGCGTGAGAAGATAGATGGCTGAAGCAAGAGGAGCGGTGGCGGCAGCATGATGAAAGGAGGCAAGCTGCAATCCTGAAGCTACTGGAGGATCAAACTGATATGCTCCGGTGTATGGTTGAGGTGCAGGAAAGGCATCAGGAGCACAGACCGCCGCTGCAGCCCCTGTGTAACCAACCGTCCTCCTCCCCAAGTTCCATAGCCTCCTCACCCAGACGCCCAAGAACGCAGAGGGAGGGGCTCCGGGCACCCAACCACTCCACCCCAGAGGACTGCCCAAGCAACAGAAGGCTGGCATTCAATAAGTTTTGAAGTGCAGTGTGGCCTTGTCCTTCCCTCCTCCCCCTCCTCCACCACCCCACCTGGTGCTTCCCTCCTCCACCACCCCTCCCGGGCTACCTTGGCAGTTATCCCCCTATTTCTGTAACTAATTAATAAAGAATGCATGAATTTGAAACAACAATGACTTTATTGCCTCTGCAAGCAGTGATTGAAGTGGGGAGGGGAGGGCGGTTGGCTTACAGGGAAGTACAGTGAACCAAGGGGGCGGGTTTTCATCAAGGAGAAACAAACAGAACTTTTACACCGTAGCCTGGCCATTCATGAAACTGGTTTTCAAAGCTTCTCTGATGCGCAGCGCGCCCTGCTCTGCTCTTCTAACCGCCCTGGTGTTGGGCTGCGCGTAATCAGCGGGCAGGTGATTTGCCTCAACCTCCCACCCCGCCATAAACGTCTCCCCCTTACTCTCACAGATATTGTGGAGCACACAGCAAGCAGTAATAACGATGGGAATATTGGTTTCGCTGAGGTCTAACCAAGTCATTAAACTGCACCGGCATGCTTTTAAATGTCCAAATGCACATTCTACCACCGTTATGCACTTGCTCAGCCTATAGTTGAACAGCTCCTGACTACTGTCCAGGGTGCCTGTTTATGGCTTCATGAGCCATGGCATTAAGGGGTAGGCTGGGTCCCCAAGGATAACTATAGGCATTTCAACATCCCCAACGGTTATTTTCTGGTCTAGAATGTAACACCCTTGCTGCAGCCATTCAGATAGACCAGAGTTCCTGAAGATGTGAGCGTCATGCACCTTTCCCGGCCATCCCACGTTGATGTTGGTGAAATGTCCCTTGTGATCCACCAGTGCTTGCAGCACCATTGAAAAGTACCCCTTTCTGTTTATGTACTGTCTGCCTTGGTGCTCCGGTCCCACGATAGGGATATGCGTTCCGTCTATCGCCCCAGCACAGTTAGGGAATCGCATTGCAGCAAAGCCATCCACTATGACCTGCACATTTCTCAGAGTCACTACCCTTGATATCAGCAGCTCTTTTATTGCGTTGGCTATTTGGATCACAGCAGCCCCCACAGTAGATTTACCCACTCCAAATTGATTCCCGACTGACTGGTAGTTGTCTGGCGTTGCAAGCTTCAACAGGGCTATCACCATTCTCTTCTCAACTGTGAGGGTTGCTCTCATCTTGGTATTCTTGCACTTCAGGGCAGGGGAAAGCAAATCACAAAGTTCCATGAAAGTGCCCTTATGCATGCAAAAGTTTTGCAGCCACTGGGAATCATCCCAGACCTGCAACACTATGCGGTCCCACCAGTCTGTGCTTGTTTCCCGGGCCCAGAATCAGCATTCCATGGCATGAACCTGCCCCATTACCACCATGATGTCCAAATTGCCAGGGCCTGTGCTTTGAGAGAAGTCAGTGTCCATGTCCTCATCACTCTCATCACCGCACTGCCGTCGCCTCCTCATCTGCTTTTGCAGGTTCTGGTTCTGCATATGCTGCAGGATAATGCGCGAGGTGTTTACAATGGTGATAAGTGCTGCGGTGATCTGAGTGGGCTCGATGCTTGCCGTGGTATGGCATCTGCAGGAGAGCAGAGTGGCAGCGGAAGCGTGATGATGGTTTGCAGCCCTATTGTACCGTCTGCTGCCAGAGCAGGAGAGTAGCGTGGCAGTGGAAGCATGACAATGTTTGCAGCCCTACTGCACCATCTGCTGCCAGCAGTACCCAGGACACAACAGCGGCGGCTGAGCTGAGCGGGCTGCACGCTTGCTGTGGTATGGCGTCTGCGTGGAAAAAAGGCACGAAACGATTGTCTGCCATTGCTTTCACGGAGGGAGGGGCGACTGACTGACTGACACCCGAGATAATGCTTTTGCCCCCTCAGGCAGTGGGAGCTCAACCCAGAATTCCAATGGGTGGTGGAGACTGCGGGAACTGTGGAATAGTTACCCACAGTGCAATGCTCCGAAAGTCGACTCTAGCCTCAGTACTGTGGACAAACTCCGCTGACTTAATGCGCTTAGTGGGGACACACACAATCGACTGTATAAAATCGCTTCCTAAAAAATCGACTTCTATAAATTCGACATAATTTCATAGTGTAGACACAGTCTGCAGACCTCCACCGACCACAGGTTGAAAACTACTGCTCTAAGGAACTATATTTTATTGTCTTCCTCTGACCTTTAATTAATACATATTTAGAAATCTATATCTAAATGCACTCACTGGGGTAGAGGTTCATTCCTATTGTGTGGAAGGGCGTGTCTGTTTCTGGGGATTACTGGTACACTGTAGCTATAGGGGGCAAAGGAGTCAGCCAATGCATAGGCAAGTGTCAGATTGTTAGTGTCACCTCTGCAAGGCTCTCCAGTCCTTCCAAATCAAGCTGCTTGTTTTCTTGGCACAAGTGGTCCATTCATAGCTTAGTTCAGGAAATGTGTAATAGCCATTACAGTGTGGCTTGTAAGATGCAATTAAACTTAAATGATGGGAAAGGAAAATGTACTCGAATTATTCACTTTCCTTGAAAAGATCAGTTGCTGTATGCAGCTTTGTGTGAAGAGTTCACCTAATGTGTGCATATTTGCACCAGCTTTAGGGAAACTTGCTAGGGCTTGTCCTAGTTGTAGGAAGGAGGAAAAAGTAGATTACAGTACAAGTTTAGAAACAATTGTATTCTCTTTTAGCAAAGGTGACTATAGTATGGTGGGTTTGAGAAGTCTTTTTAAATATGGTAAAATTTTAGCATATAGAAAAAATATTGATCTCTTTTCCAATAAAATGAACAATGCTGCTGGAAATCAACACAAACACAATATCAAAAGTTTCTATAGTACGTGACAATGCAACTTGGTATCTCTAAAAGTGCATGATTCTGGGGGAATTTATAAATAAATAGGGTACATTTTCAAACAGTTCAAGATCAGACTTTGACTACATGAAATACCATATCTTGTAGGAGATCTTGCCTTTAACAAGCAGCATGTCTCCAGGTTAACTTTTAAAAAAAAAGTAAGTTACAGAAGACAACATGAACATTAGAGTGAACATATAAACTGAAGTCTTTTTTCTTTCCATATCTAATTAGCTCATAACCACTGAAGATTTCTGTCTATTTCTCCAGTTATGTTCTACAGAATGGAAAAAGGAAGTCTTAAAAGTTGTAAAATATGTACATTAGCATAGCAGTCCTGAGACTGAGCCCTGAGTTTTCAGGAATCCTGGTCAAAGCCAGTTCCCCTTTAAATACTTTGAACTTTAAAGCTCTTATTTGTCATGTAAATACGTGTTTTCACGTGATAGTTCTACGAATTAAATTTGTAAAGCCTTCTACCTCATTCATAATTTCCTTTGAAACTGGAAAGTTTTTCTTTCTTTGAAAAATCATGGATTCACTTTTTTTTCACCCCAAATAAAAACAGCCTGATGAGGTATTATGAGTGAATATGAAAGATCTTTTTGAATGTCTTCTTGAAGTTCTCGTTACAGAGGGGATAGATGAATGGATTTAAAGTGGAGTTCACATAACCAAGCCAAATAGTGAACATATGGAAACTGTAATTGCAACAGCTTTGACAATAGGCTATTACCATAAACAGCACAAAATAGGGAATCCAGCACAGCATAAAAGCTGCCATTATGAAACCCAGCTGCTTGGCTGCTTTCCTCTCCCTGTTCACATGCACCCCTTGCATGGACTGGGTGCGCAGTCTCCGCCAGGTGCTCTTCAGGTAACTGAGGCCTGCAGCGTCTTTGTTAGTCTTTTCCTCAGCACTAGAAGTTGCTGGGATCGGGGTGAGATCAGAGTCATTTTTACAGGAGGCCCCCTCAATGAAAGTGTGCTCATCTGACGTGTCACTCTGTGTCAGTTCTGGAGCCTGTGAGCAAGGCCCCTTCTTGACAGGCACATACTTCATTCCCACTTTATCTGGCCCTGGCTGAATCTGGGTAATGGCAAGGGGAAAACAGCTCAGTTTTACAACTTTGCTGTCAGCTTCTGTAATGAAAGCCTTTGGGGGTTTGTCAAAGCTGCTGACTTCAAGCTTTGCCTCCATACTTTTGGACTGAGGGAAGTAGAGATTTACATTGCAGCAAGGGTCTACAGAGCTTCCTTTCAAAAGACTCGTGTTTATATCTTTATTTGGCTTTTTGTGGCCAATGTTTTGCTTTTCCTGCACCTTATCACGATGTATACATTTGCTTTCTGAGAAAGACCGAAACGATCCATTGATGAGCTCTCGGTGCTGATAGTGTTTCCGGACAGCCTTGTATATTTTTGCATATAACCATAACATCAGTAAAGATGGGACATAGAAGTTGACAATGGCCGTCAACACTTTAAACCACCTGACTTTGGAGAACTCTGTTTCACAGGTCTTTTCTTCCACTTTCCATTTCCCTCCATTGGCAAAAGCATGCCAGCCTAGAATCGGGATGATCCACAAAAGAGAAATCAGCCAAGCTCCAGAAATCATTACCAAAGCTCTACTTTTGGTCCGGTACTTGAGATACTTGAGTGGCTGCTGAACTGAACGGTAACGATCTATGCACAATATAAAAAGGTTGAAGATGGAGGCTGTGGAGGCTACATAATCCATTGAGAGCCAGAACTGACAGGCTGGTCTGCCCAGTACCCATTCGTGATTCAGTAGGTACATAATGTTCAGCGGCATAACAGCTACACCAACTATAAGGTCTGCGACTGATAGGCTGACAATGTAAAGGTTCCCAACTGTATGCAGCTTTCTTTCTCTTTTCACTGCATACAGGACCAAAATATTCATGATGACTGTGATCAGCGAGATGCTACCCAGGGCCAGACCTAGAGGGATTGGGTGAGCCACTGTTGAGTTCTTTGTTTCACACATCTTTTGCTCAAGGTCACAGAGCAGAAAGTCAGGATCCTGGTATTTCACTCTTGTTCACAAGCCTGGTTGAGTTTATGATGTGTTGCTTTCTGGTTCTTTTGGTGACTCTGTAAGAGAAAAAAATAGCGTCATAGAAATGTGTAATAATATAAGGGACTTAAGAGGACATCTAGTCCATCTCCTTGCCCCTCTCCCCTGCTGACGTAGGACCAACTAAACCTAGATCATCCCTGACAGGTGTTTATCTAACCTGCTCTTCAAAACCTGCAATGACAGGGATTCCATAACTTCCCTTGGTTCAGTAATTGCAATAAAATAAAAAGAATACTGCACACTTTAGCATAATATCTTCCCTTTGACAGGGCTTTTCAAACATTAATCAATTTTAACTAAGGCTTGGAAAGGTCAAGTGAGTTGTATGAGAAATATATATGGCCTGAATGATGTTGACAACTTTAGTTGGGATTCTATAGGTCTGAAGAATATTCCACAATATATGTCTGTGCAGGCTGTCAGATAACTTTGAAAATCAGTGAAACTGATGATAGTGGGGAGGTGAGGGGGAAGCTGCCATTCTATACATCCTTTGCTGATTATCTTTAGTGTAAATATCTGATCTACACAGGATCTCTTGGGCCTGAATCCAGCTAGTTCTTCTCTAATCTTTACATCCACTGCCTCTTTCATCTTGTGTACTATCATGCTGCAGAAGACTTTCCCTACAACAGAGAGGAGTATAACTCCTCTCTAGTTACAGTCAGTGAGATCACCCTTTTTGGGCATTCTGACAATGATTCCATGTTTCCACTGGTCAGAAGGGTCTGTTTTCTCAGACTTCATTCAACAGTTCTGTCAGTTTTGTTAGGGCAGTTATAGCAACTGCTTCTAGCATTTCTGCTGTGATTTGATCATCTCCTGCTGTTTTGTTTTTCAGCTTCTTGATTACAGCTTGTATTAGTGATCAGCATCACTACATCACTAAGGCCATGTATAGAAATGCAAAGTGCTCTGTAAGGGTGAATAATCAGACAGAGGAATTCAAAGTGGGTACTTGTGTGAAATAGGGCTCCATTCTAGCTCTGGTGCTGTTTGGCATTTCCATAGATTGGTTAATGAAGAAGTGTATTAGCAACACACACACTGGTATAACATGGGTAGATGGAAAATGCCTTGAAGATCTAGACTCTGCTGATGATATTGCGCTATTGAGAAACACCCCGAAAAGCTACAATCGAAGACAGATAATCTGGCAACAGCAGGCCAAGCTGGGCTCAGAATCAGTTATGCTGAAACAAATATCCTCAAAACCCAGATGTCAAGTAGCAACATTACATTAGAAGGCTAAAACATCAAGAAAGTAGAATATTTTATCTACTTAGGCAGCACCTTGTTAGCCAATGGAGACCTCATAGGAAGTGACATCAAGAATAGGAAAGGCATCCCACAGCATTCACTAAACCCAACAACATATGGAAATCAAAGATATACAGCACAAGAACAGAGTTATCTCAATTATTTACTATCAGGTTCCTCATAATTCTGATCCTGACATCTGTGGAAGAAACTTTCAGTCCATCCAGATTTCCAATTATATATATTTTACTTAATTAACTGATTGAAAAGAAAGTAAAATAAGCTGCCTATAAATAACAAAATGAAAGTGGATGGGTGTCAGATCATCCATTAATCTAATTATTGGGCTGATCTGTGTCAAATAAACCAGTAATTCTTCATAAGCTTTATCTGATAGTTAAATAAGACTACTGCCCTCCCAAATTATCAGCCCCAAAATAATAAGGCATTACCAATCCTAAGAGTGAAGCCACGGATGAGACGGCATCTGAGGCCATTTAAGGCATCCAGTCAAAATTATAGGTGGTTACATAATAGATAATCTCTTCCTCCTCAACACAGGGTTACATGAAAGGTTCCAAGTCGAGATGACACAACTTACTACATTTTAAAATTCAAATTAAAAATTCTGGTGAAAACAAGATTTCTCAAGATTAATAAACAAATCCCAACCCATAAAATATGCATGTGTGATCTTATATGGGCTTTGGCAGAACTGAATTTTGTACAAAAATTTGATGGATAGTATAAATGTTTATTTTTAAGCATTTTTTATTTTTACCAATTTAAATTTTCACAGTTGTGGAAAATTTGGGGGTGTCAGACAATAGGGATGGTCAGACAATAATTCTCTGACAGTAGATGCTGGGATTCAAAAGTTAAAGTTTTAACTGTTAAAATACAAATCCTCAACATTACTTGTCAAAATATACAAAGTAAATATCTGTAAATCAAATTCTAATTAGTGCTCAACCAGCATTTTTGCTTACTTTGCCTATCTGAAATTTCAGTTATCATTCATGGAAATATTTTTTTCATCAGTTTGTGTATGGTGAAATCTGTTTACTGATATTTACCGATTAAAACTCTAATCCTTTCAAACTAGTGTTATAGAAAGTGAGATTATTTAACCTAGGGTTGTTTTAGGTGCTTGAAAAGCTATCCTACAGGAACTGTTCTCAAATAATTTCCCTTGGTCTAACCACAGACACTCCTGCATGCACACATACCAGATGCCTGTTGGAGTTAAAAAACCAACAACAGTGCAAGAATGAGGTAGAGGTGTCCCTCTGCTAATAAAAACTGAAAAAAGAAGACAAACCCCAAAAGCTTGTTATATCCATTTAGCTTAACTCAGTAAGAAACTGATTTAAGCTATTTGGATATAAGCCAGGTTTAAATGAATCCAAGAGTATTCCATAGCAAGATTTTGCACCAATTTAACTAAATCAGTTTTTAAAAGCACTTTTAGTTCAATCAGTTCAAACTTGTGCGTAGACAAGACCTGAGCAGCTGAGGGGAGGCAGCACTGGATACACACTATAACTTGCTCTCAGTGTCTGAGAAACTGCTTGTTATGATTTGTCTTGAATAGGGAATTATTCTTATTTGTCTAGTACTTTTGGCACAGAATCTTAGTTAAATTCAATGAATCTTCTTCCTTAGAGCTGATTAGGCATTTTAGTGCTCTGGGTGAGAAAGCATATTTGTGCCTCCTACTGTTTTTTATTTAATTATATGAGTTAGGATATTATAGAGTAATGATAATGCATTTATTTTCTCGTATTGTACAGTACGTAGACAAAGAAGCTACTGTATAATTCTTTTAGGTGTTACATTAATTTTCACATAATCCTTTAGCACCTCCTATAATACCTTCGTATATAACCCTTAAGTAAACTCATTGATAGGCACTGGAAAAAAAAACATGGACTGAAAATAATTGTAACATAAATATGGATACTACAATGGCTGAATAGCATGAAACATTCAGAAAGACAAAATTGCATTTCTGTTTTATAAAAATATGATACAGGTGGTTTTCCATCACCTCACAGTGAGCCTGTGACTAGAATAAGCAGCCACCTCTCTCAATGCCACATCCGAGAATAAAAGGGACCCAAGAGTAAACAAAGAACGAATTTACCACGGAGGTGGATTATCTAGCAACTGAATTACCAACATAGTATCTGACTCTTTATAAGCAGAAGCCACCGTCTCTCTGGCCTTTATATAGGGAAGACAGCCATTTTTTGGTGGGGGGGGAGGTTGTAAGATTTCTGTTTTTTACCTTTTGCATTGTGATTTTATTTTTCTAAGAGGAGTATTGATTATTGTTTGCTTCCTGATACAATATTATGGTTGACTTATACCTGATCATTTCTCCTGCTGAATCCTGCCAAGCAAATTGTGATTATGCCCCTTTAAAGGTGAAGGATTATAGTAGTATAGCTTATTTGTATAAGGCCAGCGTGGGAAGTATCATTCGGTTGGGGAAGCTATGTTGTGACAGCTGATAAGAAGCCTAAGTGTGGAGACAGAAGAAAGTATATGGCTGTGGTGATTGTGAAATCAGATTATGCTGTGTTTCAGTGTGTGACAATGCCAATGCCATGGTTATAGTGGCTAGATCAGGGGTAGGCAACCTATGGCACGTGTGCCGAAGGCGGCACACAAGCTGATTTTCAGTGGCACTCACACTGCCCAGGTCCTGGCTACCGGTCCGGGGGGGCTCTGCATTTTAATTTAATTTTAAATAAAGCTTCTTAAACATTTTAAAAACCTTATTTACTTTACATACAACAATAGTTGAGTTATATATTATAGACTTATAGAAAGAGACCTTCTAAAAATGTTAAAATGTATTACTGGCACACAAAAACTTAAATTAGAGTGAATAAATGAAGACTCGGCACACCACTTCTTGAAAGGTTGCCGACCCCTGGGCTAGATGGACATAACACTGAGGTGATAGCCCTGGTCTCATAGAGAAGTGTGTCAGGAAACGACTGGCTGGGCCACAGCCCAGAATGCTACAAACACAGGTCACAGTGGATACATTTCTTCGCTAGTGCATAGCTCACCAGCAGCTCCACTCTAGATCTGTACCCAAGGCAGATTTCCCTATTGGTCTCTTCCCCCGTACACTAAATGGCTGTGTTTTATCTGTCTTGACACAATTGAAAAAGAAAAGTCAAGGTGCGTTCAGCATCCTGGGCCAGTCTGCCCTGAAGGTGTCAATTCCCTGATGTGTGAGTGCGCCAGTTAATGGAGCATTATACCAGTGGATCAGAGGGAGGCTCCTTATTCTGGTCTCTGTAATAACAATTGAATCAGGCTAGAGCAGCAACAAGTAAGGGCAGGTCACAGTAACAGAAACACACAGCTGAAGGAGGGAGCAGGGTGTGTGTGTTGACTAAAGGCATGTTTTACTTGTGCAATGTTTACTTTCTGTTTCTAGGGTTGCTTCCCCTAACTGTAAATCACAAGCAGCCCCTTCAGTTTTCTTGCCTGAGCATAGAAGCCCCTCTGCCCTCTCACCCTATTTTTGCAAACAGTGCAGGTGGCTCATCCTGTTGGGGCTTTGCCCTCTGCTACCATCTGGCAGAGCCTCACCCCTGGGCTGAACCTGGCTCCTACCCTCCCCCCCAATTTTGCTCCTCGGCCCCTCTCCTGTCCCTGCTTCCAGCTATTTGATACCCTGCCCCGTCCACTTGGTCAGTTTCCACCCCCTGCTTAGACCCTTCCCATCCCTACCCCCA